TAATAGTAAAGCTTGCAAGAGTCCAAGACAAGGAAAAAATAATGAAACTGGCAAGGGGGGAAGAAACAGATAACGTATAATGGAGAACCAATCAGGATAACTTCAGACTTCTCTGAAGAAAAATTATGGGCAGGAAGAGAATGGAGTAACATATTCAACAAACTTCAAGACAGCAAATGCCAACCAAGAATACTTTACCCTGAAAAGCTCTCCTTCCTCTACAAAGAAAAACATGGGCCTTCTCAGACAAACAGAAACTCCAGAAATTCATTACAACTAAACCCCCACTCCAAAAAATTCTACAGGGAGTTCTAAAACAAAAATCAATAGAGGAATGAACAAGAAGAACAGAATAAAGCAAGGAATAGAATCACAAAAAAAGAAAACAAACAAAATGGCAAATGCAGATGCCAACATATCAATATTAACTCTAAATGTAAATGGATTAAACTCAGCAATAAAAAGACACAGAGTAGCAGGCTGGATTAAAAAACAAAATCTAACCTTCTGCTGTCTCCAGGAAACACATTTAACCACAAAAGATAAGCATAGATTGAAAGTAAAAGGTTGGAAAACAATCCTACAAGCCAATGGACCAAAAAAGAAGACAGGAACAGCCATACTTATATCAGATGAAATAGACTTCAAATTAAAAAAGGTAAAAAGAGACATAGACGGACATTACATTATGATCAAGGGGACAATACATTAGGAAGATATAGCACTCATCCACATATACTCGCCAAATGAAGGGGCACCAAAATATATTAGACAATTATTATCAGCTCTGAAAGCAGACATTAAAGAAAATACATGTATAGTGGAAGACTTCAACACCCCACTCTCACCAATGGAGAGATCTAGGAGACAGAAAATAAGCAAAGACACTAGAGCCCTAAATAAAGAAATAGAACTCATGGACTTAACAGACATCTATAGGACACTGAACACAAAAAAATCCGAGCATACATTTTTCTCAAGTGCTCATGGATCATTCTCCAGAATCGATCACATATTGGGCCACAAGACAAACATCAACAGATACATCAAGATCAAAATCATTCCAACTATCTTCTCTGATCATAAAGGCATCAAGCTAGAAATAAATCATGAAAAGAAAACAAGGAACCCTCCCACTTCATCCACATTACTGGAAGAACACTGGACTAATGAGGGGATCAAAGAAGAAATTAAAAAAATACTTCGAGTTGAATGACAAGGAAAGGACATCACTTTCCAGAATGTATGGGATGCAACAAAAGCAGTAATAAGAGGAAAATATATAGCAATACAGGCTCACATCAACAAACAAGAAAGAACTCAAAGAAACAACCTAATCTCTCATGTCAAAGAGCTAGAAAAAGAACAACAAAAGAAACCTAAAGCCAGTAGAAGAAAGCAAATAATAAAAATCAAAGCAAAATAAATGAATTGGAAATTAAAAAAAAATCCAAAAGATCAATGAAAATAAAAATTGGTTCTTTGAAAAAATAAACAAAATAGACAAACCTCTAGCAAGGCTCACAAAGAAAAAAACGGGAGAAAACACATATAAATAGGATTACAAATGAAAGAGGAGAAATCACAACAGACTCAGTAGAAATCAAATAATCAGAGATTATTATGAATGCTTATGCCAATAAATTCAACAACCTAGAAGAGATGGACAAATTCCAAGAACGATATAATCATCCAAAGCTGGACAAAGAAGAAATAGAACAACTAAACAGACCAATTACAAGCAGCAAAATTGAGGCAGTAATCAAAGCACTCCCCAAAAACAAAAGCCCAGGCCCAGACGGCTTCACAAATGAATTCTACCAAATGTTCGGCAGTGAATTAGTGCCTATCCTACACAAACTCTTTCAAAAAATTGAAAAGGAAGGAATACTACCAAATACGTTCTATGAAGCGAACATTACACTAATACCAAAACCTAACAAAGACAGCACAAAAAAAGAAAATTACAGGCCAATCTCCCTTATGAACACCAATGCAAAAATCCTCAACAAAATCCTTGCCAACAGAATCCAACAATGCATCAAAGGGATAGTGCACCACGATCAAGTGGGATTCATCCCAGGGGCACAAGCATGGTTCAACATATGAAAATCAATGTGTAATCCAGCACATCAACAAAAAGAAAAATAAAAAAAAACATATGATCATATCAATAGATGCTGAGAAATCATTCGACAAAGTCCAGCATCCATTTATGATGAAGAACCTCAAAATTCTCAGGATAGAAGGAAAATACCTTAACATGATAAAAGCCATATATGACAAACCCACTGCCAATAGTATTCTCAATGGCGAAAAGCTGAAGGCCTTTCCTTTAAGATCAGGAACAAGGCAAGGATGTCCTCTCTCACCACTGCTCTTCAATATAATACTGGTGACCCTAGTCAGGGCAATAAGACAAGAGAAAGACATACATGGAATCCAAATAGGGAAAGAAGAAGTAAAACTATCACTATTTGCAGACGATATGATAATATGCATAGAGAACCCTAAAAACTCCACAGAAAAAAATTCTCAAAATAATCAACCAGTTCAGTAAAGTATCAGCATACAAAATCAACACACAAACATCAGTAGCTTTCCCATATACAATCAATCTGAAGAAGAAATCAAGAAAACCATCCCTTTTATTATTGAAACCAAAAAAATCAAATACTTGGGAATAAACCTAACAAAAAAGGTGAAAGACCTATACAAAGAAAATTATAAAACACTGTTAAAAGAAATTGAAGAAGACACAAAGAAATGGAAAGACATCCCCTGCTAATGGATTAGAAGAATCAACATTATTAAAATGGCCATCCTCCCACAAGCAATATACAAATTCAATGCTATTCCAATAAAAATCCCAATGACTTTCTTCAAAGACATAGAACAAATACTGATGAAATTCATATAGAACCTCAAAAACCAGGAATAGCAAAAGCCCTATTGATGAAAATAAAGGAGAAAGGAGGTATCACACTTCCAAACTTCAAGCTATACTACAAAGCCATAATAATTAAAACAGTTTGGTATTAGAACAAAAACAGAGACACAGACCAATGGAACTGAATAGAGAGACCAGAAATAAAGCCGCACTTATATGAACAACTAATCTTTGACAAAGGAGCAAAGGATATGCAATGGAACACAGACAATTTGTTCAATAAATGGTGTTGGGAAAACTGGACCTCCACATGCAAAAAAAAAAAAAAATGAAACTAAACCACTACCTCTCACTGTGCACAAAAATCAACTCAAAATAGATAAAAGAACTGGACATAAGACCTGACACCATAAAATATGAAAATATAGGTAAAGAAGAAATACAGGTAATAGAAGAAAATATAGGTAAAACACTACAAGACCTACTTCTCAGAAACATCTTTAAAGACTCATCACCCAAAGCAAGGAAAAGATAAACACTTGGGGTTACATCAAACTGAAAAGCTTCTGCACAGCAAAAGAGACATTAACTAAAACAGAGAGACACCCCACTGATTGGGAAAAAAATCTTTGCACTCCATCCAACTGATAAGGGACTGCTCACAATGATATACTGTTGCGAGAGACCCGGCACAGTGAGCAAAAGGGCCTTGACCTGAGTGCCTAAGGCATGTGAAAACACATTCGTCTCACAGGAAAACCTCTGAGTGACAGGACTTGGTGTTGAGTGCCGGGAAAGTGACCTGGGTGGATTCAGGCCTCTACCTCTCCACAGTCTTAGAATAACAAAAATAATAAGCTCTAGCTAGGGGGCGATAAGGTTATGTGCGTGAGAACTAACTACCTGGTACCCTACTGTCTGAAGCAAATAGATAATAGTAAGAAAGTAGACTAATCATTCATATGTGTTTGATGTTACACCTGCTGCAATTAAAATAGTATATAATGAGCACTAAGACAATAAAGACTTACTGCATGCTGGACATGACAGTCCCCCATGTCTGATTTTCCTCACCGTCGTTTCCCAGGTCCCGGACTCACTAGAAGTCCACAATATACAAAGAACTCACATGGCTCAACAACAACAAAAAAATAAATAAACAATCAAGTCAAGAAATGGGCAGGGCCTCCCCGGTGGCGCAGCCTTTGAGTGCTGGGCTGCGAAGCTGCCCTCAGCCTCTGCAGCACCGGTTCATACCGGCCACTGGCGGTGAGGGTCCCACATGGCACGACACACCTCTCTTGTCGCGCCTGCTGCTCCCCCAGCAGTGTATTTCGTCACTCTGCCTGTTCTGTTCCGTGCTCTGTCTCTGGTGAATTCTCTCACCCTCCCACATTTCTGACTGTACCCAGTATTTGTATAAATAAATATATAAAAAATGGGCAGAAGAACTTAAAAGACATTTCTCCAAAGAGGAAATGCAAATGGTCAACAGGCATATGAAAATATGTTCAACACCCCTTATCATCAGGGAAATGCAAATCAAAACCATGCTGAGATACCACCTTACACCAGTAACAATGACACATTTCAAAAAAACAAGCAACAACAAATGTTGGCAAAGATGTGGTGAAAAAGGAACTCTCCTACATTGCTGATGGGAATGCAAACTGGTCCAACCACTGTGGAAAACTGTCTGGAGTTTCCTCAGTCTTCTAAAAATGGAGCTACCATACAATCAGGCAATTCTACTCCTAGGAATCTACCCAAAGGACACAAAAACAGTGATTCAAAATAGCAACTGTACACCTATGTTTATTGCAGCAAAATAGATGACTGGATCAAGAAGATGTGGTATATATACATAATGGAATATTATTCAGCAATCAAAAAAGAAACATTGATAAGTGTATCTTTCTGGTGATTTATTTTTCCCTTAATCATACAATTTCCCTCCCTCTCTCTCAGTCCCTTTTTAACTGGAAATCTATTTTGTCTTTTATAAGAATGACTGATCCTGATTTATTTATTTATTTATTTTTGTCCTATTTACTTGTGGAATTGTTTTCAAGTCATTTACTTTGAGCCTATGTTTATGTTTTGGGTTTAGGTGTGTCTCCTGAAGACAGCAGAAGGTTGGATTCTATTTCCTGATCTGCATCTTTTAATTGGTGAGTTCAGACTATTTACATTTAGGGTTTTTATTGACATATGAAAAGTCTTTTGTTGCCATTTTGTCCTTAATTTTTGTGGTACAATCTATGTCCTTAATCAGTTATTTGTTATTTGTGTATGTTTCCTCTTTACTTTACACATAAGAGTTCCTTTCAGGGCCTCCCCGGTGGCGCAGCGGTTGAGCGCTGGGTTGCGAAGCTGCCCGCGGCCTCTGCGGTGCCGGTTCGATCCCCAGCTGCTCCCGGCCACCGGAGGAGGGTCCCACATGGCGCACAGACCTCTCCTGCCGCCCGCTGCTCCCCTCAGCAGTGTACTTTGGTCCTTCTGCCTGCTCTGCTCCCCGCTCTGGCTCTGGTGAATTCTCTCACCCTCCCGCGCTTCTGACTGTACCCAGTGCATGTGTAAACAGAACAAACAAATAAATAAATAAATAAATAAACAAACATGCCTCTAAAAAAAAAAAAGAGTTCCTTTCAGTATTTCTCAGAGTTATCTAGTGTTTTCAAACCCTTTCAGTTTCTCTTTGTCTGACACCCCTTTTATTTTTCCCTTATATCTGAAGGAGAGTCTTGCAGGATATAATATTCTTGGCTGGCAAATTTTATCTTTAGGTACTTGGAATGTTTTATTACATTCTCTCTTCCCCATAGTGTCTCTCCGGAAAACTCTGATTTTAGCCTGATTGTGGTACCATTATAGGTTTTCTGTTTCTTCACTCTTGCCAATTATGCTCCCCTTGTATCTATAATAAGAAAGTTCAAAATTGGTCAACATCTTAAGGGTAAGACAGTTTTGTGTTTCATACAAATATTCTTTGTGAGGTCTTTCTTCCCCTATACTCTGTTAGACACAGCAGATGTGATATGCCTTCTATAAACTTTCAACCTACCTTCCAAGTCTCCTGCACAGATATTTAATGGAAAAAAAAACAAACTGACAAAGTGTTTATTTCTCTGCAGTTTCAAAATGTTCCCATTAACTGCACCTGACAACTATTTGATATATTTTTCTGTTTGTTTCTTTGTCTCCTAAAATACATTTGCTATTTTTTTCTAAATCCGAATTTTTAGTCCATTCCAACAATGAAAATAAAAAGGAAAATAGTTTCAGCCTCACTTGAAAAAGTGATCTTCTGTCCATATTTGTTTGTCTGATTCCTCATACTATCACAACTATCTAATCCTATGAAACTATGCAATTTTTGTATTTTAGGGTTGAACCATATGCAATTCCAAATACACTTGAAGTAAAAAACAGAGTATCACAAGAGTGTTGGCCAGCTAACCTCTGACATGTTTAATGATTAAGCAGAACCTAGGTGTTCAGAAAAGTAAACATATATATTTAGTTAGTAAAGCAGCACACAAAACACTTTACCTTTTATAGCCCCCAAATGATTTTTTGATACAACCAGATAATACATTCCAATTAATTATTCTCAATCTTAGTATTACATTTTGAATATACAATGGGCCAAATAGACACAGTTGCTATCCTGATGAGTTTAAAACTTTAATTAGAAGGCACCTTTGTCCATAGATTCAAACAAATGCATAACAATAAAAAAAATTGGAAAAATTATTTTGTACTATGAAAAAAATTATAAAATGGATTAGATTTAGCTAAAGACTTTTGTAAGTAAATCCCTTTTACCTTCAAAACCAATGAATGCATTACATAAGATAAAGTTTTGATTTCATGTGCAAATAAACATGAATTAAAAATGAAAATGTATTTATGAAAATTTTAGAATAACTCATAATAAAATATCATAATAAAATATCATAAATGTCATAAATAATAAAATATCACAGATATTATATACAAACACCTTGACTGCCATTGAATCTAATTTTAAAAAGTAGAAATCAGAGTATATTATCATAGAATCTTCTTTATGCCTCACAGAAGAATATTTAGTTGATGTCAGCCATGAAAATTGAGGAAGATCTTGTATTTTGGGCATTCAGAAAATAGACAAAGATATTAAATTACTATTACTGAAACAGGAGCAGTCAGGTTGGGAGTCTGCATAGATAAGCTGCAATGACTGGAATGCCGAACCACCTAGGCTCTAGACAAGAGAGCCACCAAAAATCCCCAAAAGGCCAAAAGCCAAAACCAAGAGTTATTGCAAAAAAAAAAAAAAAAAACCTATACAATAAGGGAACTATGGGCTAGAGCCAAACAAAGGAGATTGGCCAATGGAGAACAAGTCACTGTGGGTTCTCACCTGCACACACAAATGCAAGACACCTCAGTCTCCAAGGACAACTGCCATAGGGTTTATTTTATAAACAAGGGAAACAAAGAGCTTACTGTAACCACAAGTGACTGGCTTTCTCACTTTTGATCAATCAGAAGTACATATATAAGTAAAGTACCAGTCACCTGTCAATAGCACTGAACGACACTGAACAATACTGATGGTCACTACTGGTCCCTCGGAGTCTGTGCCAGAGACACCAAGTTTTAACAGCTCTTGTGTGTTGTTGGATGACATCAACAAAAACCAACTATTTGAGACACCAGGCTGGGGCCTTTGGTGCACCTTTTGGGCAATATCAGAGACAGAACTGAAGGCCCAATCTCTGACAGAGATCTTTGGCTTCTCTTCCTCCCTCAGAGGTCAGCTGCTGGATTTTTCTTTTCTTCTTTCCAGGTCAGCTTCAGGTCTTTCTTATTTCTTCTTTCTTTGGAGGTCAGGAATGAGTCTTCTTTCTTTCTTTCAGAGATTGAAACAGGGTCAGCTTCCCCTGACCCTGGCTTATATCCTCTTTAAGGGTGTCCCACTTACAAGTCTGATTGGATCATTTTCAAATTGGAGTATTAGCACTAATCAGCTATAGCTCACACCTGATTGGTCCATTCTATGATCCAGGAAGTACACATAAAAAGGATGTTGCTGGACTCTGAGGAAACCACAGCCAGAATTGCCCATGTTAGAGCAGCAGGGCGAGAGGCCTCCACTGCTGCTGCCAGCTCTGACCACTGGGATGGCTCCTGCTACCAAGGTGGCTCAGGTCCAGTATCATTAATGGATTATGTCTGTGTAGACAATGTTTTCAGTAGTCCTGAAGAAATTAGAAAGGTAAAACAAATAATAGGTTAGGATACATAACATTAATTGATGTGAAATTTGAAGTTCTTCAAATAGATAGAAATTAAAAGGATACACTACTTGATAGTAAGACATTGAGAACGTTTAGAGTGTTTTAAAACTTGTAATATCGTACAGGAAGTATTGAAGATGGGGTTAATTAATGAATTATCACTTATTAAGATGACATCAGACATTACCATTCCCAAGTTTATTTGATTTATAGTTATTTATATTTTATTTGTTTTAATTGTATATTTATATGAATATGTTGTATCATTTATTTTGATATTCATATAAATTAATAAAATGTATACTAGTTATGAAAATTAATCACAGAAACACAGGAGAATAATTCATTTGGAAAATAGCTATAGTATCATTATGATATTGATGTAAAGAGTAAATTTTAACTTGTATAAATATAGGAAACTGCTTTTTTTGAAGATTTATATATTTATTTTAAAAGATTTTTATTTAATTATTTATACAAGAACTTGGGTACAGGCCAGATGCGCGGGAGGGTGAGAGGATTCACCAGAGACAGAGCAGGGAGCAGAACAGGCAGACCGACGAAATACACTGCTGCGGGGAGCAGCAGGCACAACAGGAGAGGTCTGCAGTGCCATGAGGGACTCTTGTGGGCCAGTCAGGATTGAACCGGCACTGCAGAGGCTACGGACAGCTTCACAGTGCGGAGCGCAACAGTCTGTGCCACCAGAGGAGGCCCTGAAGATTTGTTTATTTATGCATACAAAAACTGGGGTACAGGCCACAGGTGCAGGAATGAGAGGATTCACCAGTGACAGATTGGGGAACAGAAAAGGCAGGCTGACTGAAATACACTGCTGAGGGGAGCAATGGGTGAGATAGGAGAGGTCTGCTGCACCATGTGGGTATATATCCTGTCAAAAAATGGGCAGAAGAGCTAAAAAGAAACTTCTCTGAAGAAGAAATGCAAATGGCCAACAGGCATGTGAAAAAATGTTCAACATCACTTGTAATCCGGGAAGTGCAAATCAAAAGTACCATGAGATACCATCTTACACCAGTGAGACTGGCACATATTAAAAAAAAAAAAAAAAAAAAAACTAGCAACAACAAATGTTGGCAAGGTTGTGGAGAAAAAGGAACTCTCCTGCACTGTTGGTGGGAGTGCAAACTGGTCCAACCACTATGGAAAGCTGTGTGGAGATTCCTCAACCTACTAAAGATAGAGCTTCCACATGATCCAGCAATTCCACTCCTAGATATTTACCCAAAGGACACAGAAACATCGATTCCAAAGAGCACCTGCACCCCTATGTTTATAGCAGCACTATTTACAATAGCTAAGCTTTGGAAACAACACAAATGCCCAACAATAGATAACTGGATCAAGATGTGGTACATATACACCATGGAATATTGCTCAGCATTCAAAAAAAGATAAACACATGCAATTTGCAGCAACATGGATGGTGCTGGAAGGGATCATGCTCAGCGAAAGCCAGAAAGAAAAAGAAAAATACCGGATGGTCTCACTCATAGCAGGAATCTAGAAAACTTAAATAAGGGACCAGGAAAATGAATAACTATAAGAAAGTGAAAATCAAAATCAACAAACAACTATGAACCAGAGACACTCTATGGGTAGTGGGGGGTGGGGAGGGGAGGGACTGGGGTCAAAATAAGGGGATTGCAATTATATGGGGAATATAAAAATGAATTTTTTTAAATAAATAAATAAGTAAATCTTTAAAAAAATAATTTTTCATCCCAACTAAACTTTATTGTAATATATGCTGGTCATGTTAACAAAAATCATATTAATCATATCAAAATACACACATATATCAAGTACAGGGCATCCCTGGCAATGTGAGAGGTTAAGACACAACCTGTGAAGCTGTCCAC